GAAAGAATGCAATTTCTAGTTTTGTCTGTCTGGGTTATCAAACAAAATTCTTTTCCAGTTTCTGTTTCCAGAACTTCACTCTCCTAAAGTGTCTCCTTTCAAATTACTCTGTTCTTGTCAATGTCTATCTCTATGTGTGTGTGTGTATATCTCTCAATGTGTATCACCTTCTCTCTCTTTCTCTTTCTCCTATATGCTCTGTGTGCATCTATTTGTATGTATTTCAGCTCTCTCTTTCAAAAAAATTTCTCACAGTGTGCCTCCCCCTGTCTGTGTGTGTTCTTCTTCAATCTTTAGGGTCCCCCCTTTTATATGCCTTCCATTAACCCTTTTAACAGCCTGTTTAGAATATCACCATACCCCTCCCATGTGCCTTTCATTTTCAGTTCCACTTTAGCTACTTAAGTATTAAACCCCATCAACATTCCTTGGCAGACTTATCTTTCCCATTTTATTAACTAAAAGCAAGCATGGGCAGCAGGATGTAGTCTGANAGCTAAACTCAGTTAAGTATTAACTAACTAGATTTTTTCTTTTTGCTATTGAATTACATATCAATTAATTTATACAGAGAAATCCATAGACCATGAGCATTACAAACAGACATTTGAACTTCTTCAAACTCCTTTCATTTCATGCTTTCGAACTGTTACAGTTAACACCAGGATGGGACTCGAAATGTGTACCTGGAAATACTGAAATGCAAAGGAGAAGAAGAAGAAGATGGGGAAATCAGCAGCAGCAAGAAACAGGACTAGCAGTAGCAGCAGGACAGAATAGCAGCAGCCAACTCACAAAACAACTGGAGTGAGATCAACACCCCAACTAGACCAAATTCTCGAGTAGAACAGACATCACCCAAGCAGACTCAGTTGAGAGAAATCAGTGTTGCACAAAACAGGTCCAGATTTAGTAAAATCAGAACAACAGGAAAGAATGCAATTTCTAGTTTTGTCTGTCTGGTTTATCAAACAAAATTCTTTTCCAGTTTCTGTTTCCAGAACTTCACTCTCCTAAAGTGTCTCCTCTCAAATTACTCTGTTCTTGTCAATGTCTATCTCTATGTGTGTGTGTGTGTATATCTCTCAATGTGTATCACCTTCTCTCTCTTTCTCTTTCTCCTATATGCTCTGTGTGCATCTATTTGTATGTATTTCAGCTCTCTCTTTCAAAAAAATTTCTCACAGTGTGCCTCCCCCTGTCTGTGTGTGTTCTTCTTCAATCTTTAGGGTCCCCCCTTTTATATGCCTTCCATTAACCCTTTTAACAGCCTGTTTAGAATATCACCATACCCCTCCCATGTGCCTTCCATTTTCAGTTCCACTTTAGCTACTTAAGTATTAAACCCCATCAACATTCCTTGGCAGACTTATCTTTCCCATTTTATTAACTAAAANAGTCGGGTTTTGTTTATGGGTTATGGGGAAGTGATCTTGGCCGTTGATCAATCTGAGATCAATGGCCCAGATCAGGCACGACCCAAACGACGTCGTTTGGACACCCTGGGTATCAACTCGGACTGGACCGGGCAGGCCTGGTTTGGGCATTGTTTGTTTGGGCCAATTTTAATAAATTGGCCCAATCCGGAAGAAGAAAGGATCTTTTTTTTTTTATTATTATTTTTATTTCTTTTCCTTATTTATTTTAAAAACAAAACTAAGCAAAAATCAAATTAAAATTAAATACACACTCAATACAATTATTTGCACACACACTAAAAAAAATATTTCAAAACAGGTGAAATCAAACAAAACAAAATCACGGACAAAGATGCTTGTTTTATGCCTTTCTATTTAACAACCATGTTACGGTTCAGATTATGCATGACACGTACATTTTTGTATTTTGTTTTAATAAAGTAAAAATGGGCCAAAGTCATAAATAATTAACGAAGTGCCATAAAAAATCCAAAAATTGTACAACAGGATCAATTGTTTTTTTTATTATTATTTCTTTTGGAGCGATTGTCTCGTGAAGCAAAAATCACGTGCTCACAGTGAGAAATATAAGCATAATCCGTGAAATGTGAAACTTAACATTAGTAATCCGATGCACATAGGCGAATCTAGAATTTAAACTTTATGAGTTCAATATTTAAAGTTCTTAGTATTGGACCTATTATATTCTTAAGTTATGGGTTCAGACCTAATATGTATTGCAGTTTTAATGAATTTTTGTACTAAATTTATACTCCGCGTCAAAAGTACTAGGTTCAGATGAACTAGATACTATAATTCTACATATGCCTTTGCCGATGCATCAAATAGTGTCAGTAAGCTCTAAAATGCATAACTCCATGGAAGATACAGAGGGATTTCTGAACAAGTTATGCCTCACATTTTTGCAATTGTAGGTTTACTTTAATTTCCACTTTGGTAAATCTTACAACTTTTAGATAGAAAGAAGGGATTTTGAGAAAGGCAATTAATTTGGTTGTCAAAATTCAACATATAGTGTCAAATGGGCTGGTTGCGCCAATTTTGAGTTGGGTCAATATTCCTTGAGTTGAGATGAGCTGGATCAAGATGGACTAAAATTGATTTTTTAGCTAACCCGTCCAACTCTTACCAAACTTTAATTTATATGTATTATTTTCTTATGAATTGTATAATTAATGAATAAGACTTTTCTTCCTTTGTTATGGTCATATATAACATATTAAACAAAAAAAAATATTTTTAAGATATTTTGGTAAAGTTACTCATGGATCAATTTAGCCAAAAAATCAACTCAATTTTAAATGGGTTGAAATAGAAAGGGGTTTGGATTTAACAAATAAGCGGGTCAATAACCAGCTCAACCTTGGGCGGGTTGGGCAGGTCATTTGGGCTTGGACTAAATATGACAGCCCTATTTACATGTAAGATTGTCCACTTTCAATTTTGGAGTATTATCACTTTTAGCCCGCGCCAGAAACAGTTTATATCTAGTAATCGAAAAAAGTGTATAAAACTTGTATAATTTTTTTATATAACATACAGAATGTATATACATACTAAAAAAATATACCAATTTTAAATATTTTTTCGGCTATTATTTTTACATCAGCTTTACAGTTTCATTTTTCTATGTCAACATATATAGAGGGTTTTTGGCTAAGCTTATAAGCTGGTCAAACTGGCTTATAAGCACTTTTTAGCTTATCTACACGTTTGATAGAATTAAAAGTGCTTATACGTTAAGTGCTTATAAGCCAAAAATAAGCCAAAAGTCATAAGTTGGTCTCCCCCAACTTATCAAATTTCACCTTATAAGCACTTTAGGTTTGACCAAAATATTTACTATTCTATCCTTAAAATAGTTCTTTTAAAACAAAACTTTTCGTATACCCAGTTCTTCAATTGCTTATTATTAATTTCAGCATTTTTATCCAAATACGTAACTGCTTATTTTTTAAATTAGTTTCAACACTTAAAAGTGTTTTTCAGCACCTAATGCTTATCAGCTACTCTAATTCAGCTAAGCCAAACGGTTAAAACTTCATCAATGTACATGAAGCAGCAATGTTGTTTCGGTGGCCACGAAGAACAAATCTATCTTCAATTGTGTCACTGAAAACATATGCATGCTCTTTCTGCAATTATAGCTTCTTTGTATATTTTGCATGTACTACTTATTCGCTTAAATTTGTTACACTTTACTTTTATTCTTTATCATCAAATGACTATCCAAAGCACCAAAAAATTAACAACTACTTCAAAAAGTACAATGTTTTTCCATTAACAAGCCATCACGATTCACTTCTAAAAATAGCTCTTTTCCGACTAGAAAAATATATCGACCACGATTACCGATCAAAAATCGACCGAATTGAGTGGGTTAGAAAAATACTGGTTGGCAGCATGAAGAGAAGAAGCCCTATTTAAATCACCCGATTGATAAATCTCATAATGAAGAAGAAGAGAAAGGAACGTTTGAAGAAGAAGAGAAGGGAACATCTCTAGCTTTTCCGACAAAAACAAAGTCTTCGGAATTATCTAGAAACAGAGATAATATATTTGCACAAAATATCTCAAGGCATGGTCTCATTCCAACCGTTAATCATAAATTTGATAAACTAAATCCTAGCCGTCCAGATTAGTCAAGGAATACAGCTGTATATTTCATTCTTGGATTCTAGAATAAGCCCACATGTGTGAGGCATGTGACACACCTTGTAAAGAATATTAGTTAGTTACTCCCTCTGTTCCAGTTTATGTGAACCTATTTCCTTTTTTGTCCGTTCCAAAAAGAATGAACCCTTTATAAATTTGGTAACAATTTAGCTTAAAGTTATAACTCTACCCTTAATGAGAAGCTTTTATAACCACACAAATACTCTAGGCCCCATTTGGACTTGTTTAGGACCACAAATTCCAAAAGTCTTTATTTTTTTCTTAAACTCCGTGCACAGTCAAACAGGTTCACATAAATTGGAACGGAGGGAGTATTAAATAACCAATAGTAATTAGACAAGTGTAAAGGAATCTCAAATTCTATTTTTGTTTCTTTACAGATATACTTGTATATATTGAGCTTCAGCTAAATGAAAAATACACAGAGAAAAATTCCCTACATCATCTTCTAATTTTACATTCCTTTCATGGTATCAGAGTATTGAAGCTCTGAAGCTCGATTTAATACAGAATCATCTAAATTTTCTATGAGCTTTCCTTCATCATGGGTGATACATCTGTAACTCCTAATGCATCTATAACTCAGACTGTAGCTGGAAATACAGTCACCTTCGACACAAATCACCCCTATTTTCTCCACTCTTCTGATGCACCAGGTATAGCTCTTGTCAACACAGCCTTCAATGGGAGAGGCTTTTAAGGATGGAAGAGGTCTGTCCTTATAGCCCTTTCAGCAAAGAACAAATTAGGATTCATTAATGGATCCTGTCCTCCTCCTATCGTCACCTCCAAAGATTTTCAGTCATGGAGTAGGTGCAATGATATGGTTACCTCATAGTTGTTAAACTCACTATCCAAGGACATTGGGGATAGTGTGATCTACTCCAAATCTGCCAAGGACCTCTGGACCAGCCTTGAACACAGGTTTGGCCAATCAAATAGTGCTAAATTATACCACCTGCGTAAGGAACTATCAGGATTAGTTCAAGGCAGCAGTGATATAGCAAGTTACTTTACTAAACTCAAGCATTTGTGGGATGAGTTAGACTCACTTAATTGTGATGTTAAGTGTTTGTGCACTAGTGTGTGTGAGGGCAAACAGAAATTGGAAAAATCACTGGAGGATGAAAGGCTCATCCAATTTCTCATGGGTTTAAATGGTATTTATGAACAGGCAAGGGGAAACATCCTAATGATGAACCCTCTGCCCAATATCAATCATGCTTATTCCCTTGTGTTACAAGATGGGAATCAGAGGGAAATTTATGCTAATCCTCTTATATCCTCTGAATCCTCATCCTTCATGGTAGGAAATCAGGCAAACCTAGGTGGCCAGAGTGCTTTTCAATAGAGAAACAATAACAAGCAAGGACCAAGGAACTTTGGATAGTTTCAAAAATCAAACAACAACATTCAAAAAGGAACAAATTCAGCACAAAGAAACACTGCTCCTAGAGGAAAGAAGAACAAGTTCAATCCAAATGCTTCATGTACCTACTGCAAAATGGTGGGACACTCAGTCAATGATTGTTACAAAATCATAGGTTTTCCTGAAGATTTTGAGTTCACTAATGGTAAAGGAAATCAGTTCCAATCTAGAAGCAATGGGGTTTTTGTAGGAGACCAGGTAGATGATGCAAACAGTGGATACAATGAAGGACTGAATCAACATCTATCTAAGGAGCAATTCTCACATTTGGTTCAGTTGATCAAGCAGGTTAAAACTACAGAAACAACAAGCACCAGTTCTGAGATCAATGCCAATGTTGTAGCTGGTACTATTATCAAATATACTAGATCTTGTTTTTCAGTCTTTACCACCACTACTTGGATCATTGACTCAGGGGCATCAGAACATATGTGTTTTGATTCAAATGCTTTTTTATCTTTATCTCCTCCTCTTGTTCCTATACATATCAACCTCCCCAATTCATTTAAACTAACTGTCACATACAAGAAGAGTTTCTATTTCCCCTGATTTTATTCTAAACAATGTTATTAATGTGCCTAGTTTTAGATACAATCTTTTATCAGTCAATAGGTTTTGTATACAGTTTTACTCTATGATTACACTTACATCTAATCAATGTCTCTTGCAGGCCCCTTTAATGAAGAGGCCTCAAGTTTTTGGGGAAGCAAAAGGAGGACTATATATCTTGGAGCCTAATACTGTTAGGAATAGTTCACAAAACCATGTAGTTTCAGTTTTAGAATCAAATGATGCCAAGCCTATTTAAGTTTCTTTTCCTTTTTCTGCAAGTACAATTTCAATGTAACTCTGTGGCACAACAGATTAGGGCATTTTCCTTTTTCATGAAAGAAACAATTCAGTTTTATCTCTTTTCCTTTTAATTCAGAATGTTTTTGTGATGTCTGCCCTAAAGCTAAGCAAACTAGATTGTCTTTTCCCTTGAGTCAAATTAAATCTAAAAGAGCATTTAAATTAATTCATGTTGATGTTTGGGGGCCCTACAAGGAGCCTACTTATAATGTTTTCAAATATTTTCTTACTGTGGTTGATGATTACAGCAGAGGTACTTGGACATTTCTCTTAAGTACCAAGAGCAATGCATTTCCAGTTTTGAAGAACTTTTTCACTATGGTTGAAAGGCAGTTTGGGGTTAAGGTTCAAAAATTGAGAACAGATAATGCTTTTGAACTTGGGAAAGGTTCCCAAGAGGCATCTTTTCTTAGTTCTCAAGGAATACTCCATCAAACTTCATGTGTATCAACTCCTCAACAGAATGGAGTTGTTGAAAGGAAACACAAGCATCTTTTGGAAATAGCTAGAGCCTTGCTTTTTCAATCTAAAGTTCCTATTCCTTATTGGGGAGAATGTTTATTAACTGCCACTTATTTAATTAACAGGCTACCCTCTAAGGTCCTTCATCGTAAAACGCCTTATTCTATTTTGTTCCATCAGTCACCTTCCTATAAATTTCTCAGAAACTTTGGTTACCTTTGTTATGTTTCTACCTTGTCCAGTGGAAGAACCAAATTTGATCCTAGAGCTAAGGCATGTACATTTCTAGGATATCCCTTAGGTCAGAAAGGGTACAAAGTGTTAGAATTAGATACAAAGAAGGCCATTGTATCTAGGGATGTGCATTTCTATGAGGATATGTATCCCTTTGCTACAACCCACACCATTCCTGAATATATGGATCTCATTCCTTCACCATCAGACTCCTCTCTTCCTATAACATCACCATCCACATTACCTAATCCTCCAACTCCTTCCTCACCAGGATTTATTCATTCACCTTCACCCCTTATCACTCACCCACCTTTCTCACATATCTCTGATTCACCTTCCACACTCTCTTCCTCACATTCTCCATCATCTCCTAATTTCCCTAGTACTTCAGTTCCACCACTCAGAAAATCTACCAGAGTCACTTCTCAGCCTCATTATCTTAAAGACTATGTTTGCAACAATATCTATCTTAGTGAAGTAACTTCTACCTGTTTTGCCCAGCCTAGTCAACCTGCTATCTTTTCTTTTGGGGCCCTATCTCCTGACAATCAGCATGTTCTACAGTTAATTTCAGAAATTTCAGAACCTAGCAGTTTTTCACAGGCATCTTCACATCCAGGATGGAGGAAGGCCATGTCTTTAGAGATTGAGGCATTGGAAGCTAATAATACTTGGGATGTAGTTCTCCTACCAGTTGGAAAGAAAGCTTTACCTTGTAAATGGCTATACAAGGTGAAGCACAGATCTGATGGAAGCATAGAAAGGTTGAAATACAGACTGGTTGTCAGGGGGGATATTCAAAGGGAAGGCATCGACTACACTGAGACATTTTCTCTAGTAGTCAAAATGATTACCATCACATGTTTATGGCAGTAGCTACTAAAAGGGACTGACCTATTTATCAATTAGATGTTAGTAATGCCTTTTTACACGGGGATCTCCAAGAGGAGGTTTATATGAGATTCCCAACTGGTCTAACCCCCCCTTCACCTAATCATGTTTGTCTTCTTAGAAAATCTCTTTATGGTTTAAAGCAGGCCTCAAGACAGTAGTATGCTAGGTTAGCTGGTACATTAAGTTTTTAAGGAGTATTGTTCCTCTTTGAATGATTACTCATTATTTTTTAAGAAGCAAGGGGATTTCATTTCAATTGTTGCAATATATGTGGATGATACCCTTATTAGTGGCAACGACCCAATGGAAATTACCTCCCTAAAGTCATTCCTTCATTCTGAATTCAAGGTCAAATATTTAGGGAGTTTGCATTACTTTTTAGGTATGGAAATTATGCGCGAAACGCAAGGAATGATAATCTGTCAAAGAAAGTTTACCTTGGATTTGTTGCAGGAATTTGATATCTCCAATCTGCCTTGTGTTTCTTCTCCTCTTGAGCCATCCTCCAAGTTACATGCTGATGAATGGCCTCTTCTTCCAAATCCCACTGTTTACTGTCATCTTGTTTGGAAATTAAACTACTTAACTCACATGAGGCCAGATCTCTGCTTTGGTGTGCTCAAGCTCAGTCAATTTATGCAAAGCCCTCGTCTTGCCCATTTTGCTGCTGCCTTACGAGTCCTACGTTACCTGTGTTCAGACCTGGGCAGGGAATTCTTCTCAATTCATCTCTTTCATTAAAGTTGGTTGCTTTTTGTGATGCAGGCTGGGCTTCTTGCTCAGAGACTAGACGCTCAGTTAGTGGTTTTTATGTTTCCCTCGGAGGCTCCCCTATTTCCTGGAAATCTAAAAAGTATGCCTCTATCTCGTTATCATCTGCCGAAGCTGAGTATAGATCTATGCGAAGAGTGGTTGCTGAACTCACTTGGCTCACCCGTCTTCTTGATGACCACTTTATTTCACCATAGCTGTATGTTCTTGTTCTTTCTGATAGCAAGGCAGCCATATACATCGCTCATAATCCCGTCTTCCATGAACAGACAAAACATGTCGAATTGGACTATTGTTTTGTCTGTCAACAGTTCCTTTCAGGTTTAATCAGCCTTTTCTTCGTTCCTTCTTCATCTCAGCTTGTCGGTATCTTTACCAAATCCCTTTATGGGCCATCACACCATTCTATTATGCGCAAGTTGGGGATAATTTCATCACCCTCCAACTTGAGTGGGGATGAAGAGAAGAAGCCCTATTTGAATCAGCCGATTGATAAATCTCATAATGAAGAATAAAAGAAAGGAACGTGTGAAGAAGAAGAGAAGGGAACATCTCTAGCTTTTCCGACAAAAACAAAGTCTTCGGAGTTATCTAGAAACAGAGATAATATATTTGCACAAAATATCTCAAGGCATGGTCTCATTCCAACCGTTAATCATAAACGTGATCAACTAAATCCTAGCCGTCCAGATTAGTCAAGGAATACAGCTGTATATTTCATTCTTAGAATCTAGAATAAGCCCACATGTGTGAGGCATGTGACACACCTTGTAAAGAATATTATTTAGTTACTCCCTCTATTCCAGTTTATGTGAACCTATTTCCTTTTTGGTCCGTTCCAAAAAGAATGAAACCTTTATAATTTTGGTAACAATTTAGCTTAAAGTTACAACTCTATCCTTAATGAGAAGCTTTTATAACCACACAAATACTCTGGGCCCCATTTGGACTTATTTAGGACCACAAATTCCAAGAGTGTTCATTTTTTTCTTAAACTTCGTGACCAGTCAAATAGGTTCACATAAATTGGAACAGAGGGAGTATTAAATAACCAATAGTAATTAGACAAGTGTATAGGAATCTCAAATTCTATTTTTGTTTCTTTACAGATATACTTGTATATATTGAGCTTCAGCTAAATGAAAAATACACAGAGAAAATTCCCTACATCATCTTCTAACTCCTAATGCATGGGTGATACATCTGTAACTCCTAATGCATCTATAACTCAGACTGTAGCTGGAAATACAGTCACCTTCGACACAAATCACCCCTATTTTCTCCACTCTTCTGATGCACCAGGTATGGCTCTTGTCAACACAGCCTTCAATGGGAGAGTCTTTCAAGGATGGAAGAGGTCTGTCCTTATAGCCCTTTCAGCAAAGAACAAATTAGGATTCATTAATGGATCCTGTCCTCCTCCTATCATCACCTCCAAAGATTTTCAGCCATGGAGTAGGTGCAATGATATGGTTACCTCATGGTTGTTAAACTCACTATTCAAGGACATTGGGGATAGTGTGATCTACTCCAAATCTGCCAAGGACCTCTGGACCAGCCTTGAACACAGGTTTGGCCAATCAAATGGTGCTAAATTATACCACCTGCATAAGGAACTATCAGGATTAGTTCAAGGAAGCAGTGATATAGCAAGTTACTTTACTAAACTCAAGCATTTGTGGGATGAGTTAGACTCACTTAATTGTGAT